GCGAAGAGGTAAAGAGGGGAGGAGAAACATGACCTCGCGAAGTAGGAAAAAATATGAACAGCTGGATTTTTCGAAGACAAGATATGGGTCCTTGGTCGACATCGTTGTCAAAGTTGTGAAGCCCGGTTCTTGGGTATGTCGATAAAGAAATCCTACGACTGTTGATTGTGACTGACAGTATTTAGTTTAGTGAAAGGGAAGGAAGAAGGCGACAGGGAGGGAAGAGGGAAGTGTTTGGGTCTATCAATGGAGATAATAAAAGTTGATCTCTTCTTTAAAATCTGATTATTTTTTTTTTGGGAAAGAAACTAATGACATGACTGGTACACATCAGCAGCCATGTCATCAAATTTGATTTTTAATTCTAAATTTTAAGTCTGTCTAGCATTACTCTGTTACATGAACTTAAAAGTGGCAAACTTGATAATTACAACCATTAATTTTACTATAGGTCACAACATTTATTAGAAGTCACTACCTATTCAGTGGTTGTGATCATTAAATCTACTTTTTATGTACATATAGTATTACTGTTTATGAGAATATAATTACATGTTTGGTGGCAGATATATTATGAGAGTAATTATAATTACATGTTTGATCATTTTTATAGTTTTGGTTGTTTGTGTACGACTTATTATCTCTCTCTCTCTCTGTTTTTTTTTTTTTGATTTACCGTCTTTATTTTTCTATGACTTACCATCTTTATTTTTTCACAACTTACTTGAAAGATAATTTGTCAAATAAAAAACAAAAATTATTAGAATTTAACTACGTAAGAATGCATGATCATTGAATGTTTGATTACTTGATTACGTATGAAAATCATTGATTACATACGACAAAAGATATTTTTGATGACATTGATAATAAAGCCATGATATGGTATTTTTAGAAAACTCATCACGATCAATTGCAAAATTCTTGTAAATCATTGTAATTAGTCTAATTTTTGGTTTTTTTATTTGTATATCATGGACCTTTGAACCTTTTATATTTAATGAATTTTATGTAATAAATTAATAAATTATTTTTTTTTGATTGAAAGAAAAAGAATAAAACCTTGTAGTTAAAGTCCTCACCCAAAAAAAAATTTCTTACTTCACCACTGATAATAATAATACTTATTGTTAGAAGGTCATAACAAGGTTAATTAATTAAAAAGATGCACTCCCAAATAAAAATAAATAAATAAATAAAAAGATGCATCAAAAGAATCAAGAAAGTGTTATCAAATTTGAATCGGATATTAAATCGGTTACATAAGGAAATAATCAAAAAATTAGTGAATCGAATGGGTTTAAGGAATCGGGTGGGTCGAATACACCTTGAATAAATTGCACATTTTCGGGGCAAATTTGCCCCAAGGGCAACTCGCCTTGATCATTTTTTGTACCTAAATTTAAAATTTAGGTAAAAATGATCCAAAATTTTTCTTGAGACCCATACTCATATCAAATAAGGATGGCAGTTTATAACATAACATAAAAATACGACTTGATATCGACACGAAATTAGCATGTTAGAATTGGTTATTTCGCAACACGAACCCGTATATGACACAACCTATTAACACGAAAAATAAATGAGTTGAGTTATTGTCAAACACGAACAATACGAAATTGACACGATTAACATATTTAAGTAGTATTATAAGAATAAAATATCAAATTTTTATTATATTTTATCAAGTTGTGACCTAATTATTGTACAAAAAAATAATTTTACTTATTTTTGTTAAGTTAATCTTTAGTTTATAGAAAAAGTATGAGCATGTGTTTGATTAAGTGAAAATGAAATTTTAAACATAAAACTGAATTAATTTTTTTATTCACGAGTTATATGGGTCAACACGAACACAACATAAAAATAAATAGGTCGACACAATTAGTTAAACGGTTGGGTTAAGATTAATTAGTGTTCAACACAAATCTAAAATGATACGGCAAGAACACAACTGAACACGACACAATTGTCATCCCTAATCCATTTATTCTACTTTAAAATGACAAGCGAAATTTTTTTGATTAATTATTATGTCCCTATAAAAAAGATAAAAGACATCCCTAACTTTATGTATTTAACTAGTCTAATATGCAAACGACCCTTCATATAATTTCATTTTCATCTTTATGATACCCTAATTACTCATTCATTTACTCTTACACTTAATGGGTTCTGAAATTAATATTATATTATTTATGCAAATAACATCAATAATTATTACAAAGCCAATAGTATTATTTATATCCGTCCATCTCTTTCAAAATTAGAATTAATTAAATTAATTTATGTCTATTAACTAATTCTAGCGTCAACAAATGCCTCCTCAGTATCCATCTTCAGCTCATCATATTATACACAAATTCTTAGAACTCAATTCACTACTTCACTCTTCAATTAAAAATTTATATTGATATTTATGCCATCAGGCATAAATTGAGTATGAAAGACAAATTAATCGGATGAAATACATCATAAGTTTGTATTAGTATAACAATGAATTGAACTTGGAGCTGTACACCATGAAGTGGGTGGACAAAAAGAGAGGCATGGTGACGAACAATGATTTTTAAGAACTTATGTCTTCAATCTTTTATAGAGCAAAAAACTCTACCTATTACAGTGATACATTTTAATAGTTTGTATTCACCTCACTATGTTAAACATTAATCATGTTTACAAGTGACAGAGTTTTTTTTAAGTCAGTTTTGATTTTAGTTTTGGTAATTGTATTTTAAAAAAAAAACAACAAAATAAGTGTTGCTAATGCCCACATATTTTTTTATAAGACGTTGCACATTGGTTAGTAAATAAGTTAAACACAAATAAAATATGATTGCCACATATTTATATACTACAATCTTCAACAAATCAAAATAATATGACAAAAAATTTAAAATCAAAATTATATTTAAAATCAATTTGTTTTCATGTTTTTTACTTTTGTTTTCATTTTTTAACAAAAAAAAAATATACATGTTTGAGTTTGTATTTCTATTTTATATAAGATTTAGTTATTACCCGTGCCTGGAAACACTATGTAATAAACAAAAAAATCGTAAGTAATTGTCCAAATTAAAAAAAAAATGATCTGAAAACATCTATATCAATTCTTCTTTTAAAATGACTTGCCCACGTACTATTGGAATTGTCATAAAAATGAACAAAAAACCCCCAAAGCAACACCACATATACAATTACCTCATAAAAAAAATACTATCATAATCAAATCAAATTTACAATCTTTAAGTAATAAATAAAATTAATAAAATCGTTCTCATCTATAAGAATCATGTATTCGTCGTCATTACCATCATTCAATTCAATAACAAAATATAATTAAAAACTCAATCTACCCATGTAAAGAATATCTCAAACAAAAAACTGCCTACTAATGCAAACATCTATATAATAAAAATTAATTCAATGATGTCAAAAAAATAAATTTTGATATTTGAAATTCCACAAGCTTCCAAAAGAATGAAATCAAATTTACAATCATAAATTAAGAAATGTAATAAAACCAATCTAAATTAAGATATAAACAATACAGTTGTAACATATAAAGTTTAACTGTAATCAGCTAATGTCAAAGCATCTAGAAGTAACTAACACGAACATTAAACATTAAAACCAATAAACTCTTGTCAAAGCATATGCCACTAACATTTGATGCAATTGATTTGATGCATTTTTTTTATATTGGTCGCTTGTTATTTTTTTGGCTTGACTTTGAATTTTTTTTTTAATTTTTTTGGTGCTTGCAGTAGTGATTTATTTTTGGTATGAAAAATAGCTTGAAGGTCTTATTTATGGACTGTATATTTATATTTTTCTTTATGTGGAAGTAGTGATGACGATTAGATTGATTTTGAATTTTTTTTTACGACTGCAACTGGTTTCAATCGTTTTATTTTTATTGGTCATTTTTTATTTTTTTTTATTTTCTACTTTGTGTTTGCGTGGAGAATTGGTAATTAATTTGGATTTTATTTTTTTAATTTTTTTGGTGCAATTGGTATCACTTAATTTTTTTTATTAGTGATTAGTTTAGGCTTTGTATCTTTGTTTTCTAGGAGAATTATTTTGTTTTTATTAGTCACTTGTTATTTTTTTTATTGGTGATTAGCTTGAGCTTTTTTATTTTTTATTTTTTTTGGTGCAATTGGTATCACTTAATTTTTTTTATTAGTGATTAGCTTATGCTTTGTATTTTTATTTTTTGAGAGAATTGTTTTGTTTTTATTAGCCACTTGTTATTTTTTTTATTGGTGATTAACTTCACCTTTGGATTTTTGTTTTTTTGGGGGAATTGTTTTGTTTTTATTGGTCACTAGTTTTTTTTTTATTTTTTGGGTGCAATTGACATTACTTGCTTTTTTTTATTGGTGATTAGCTTGAGCTTTTAGATTTTTTTTTTTATTATTTTGTGAACTATATGTGTTGCATATAATAGATGAGATATATGAGTCATAGAGTTAGAGAAAGAGAGTTGTATCAGTTAATAGGAGATAGATAGAGAATTATAGAATGAGATATGGAGATAGAGTTAGATGAGGGATAGAAGTCTTAAAGTTAGTGAGTGAAGTTGTATCAATGAGTATGAGATATATAGAGAGAGAGTTAGATGAGAGATATGAGTTTTACAAAAATTTGGCATGAAAATTGTTGGATCAATAACCTTCGAACGATCTAAATCGTAAAAAGATAAATACAAAAACATTTAGTTACTTTATCGTATAAATAAGTTGCTTTAAAAACAAAACCCAAAAAAAAAAGCCCAGAAGAAGAAAAGATGTTTTCAAAAACAAGGGAAACATTGCTCAAAGAAAAAACAAAACAACAAGGGAAACAGAAAGAACGTGCGCGGGGCTGGGGGAGTTAATGAGATCTAGGTTTCGAACTTAGTTAGCAGCAAAAACAGTCTTTTTTTGTGGAATTATAAACGCCCTTTTCTACTCTTCTCTCTTGCCTCTCTGGACGTTCTCTCTCTTCATCGTCTCTCTGTAGCCATCTCAGAACCGAAAGCTTCCATCGCCTATTTGCATGTCAGAACTGAAGGCTCGCCTCCCATCTGCTTCAGATCTGCATTTACGGTGTACATTCAGGTAAAATTTTCATCTTTGTTGTCTCTAGATCTAGTATATGCAGATCTATGCATAGATAATGTATGAACAACGATCCAATACCCTCTCACATTTGGCAGAGAGAGAGAGTGAGAGTGATGACAGAGTGTTCTCAAGAAACGCCCATTTCTCTATTTGATTCACGAAACTAGGGTTCTTCTTTCTTTATCTATTTTTATCAGATCCAATTTTTAGTCCCAATTTACATCAATTCGATTCAATTTATCAGATCGCAGCAATAGTAGCTGTGAGTGTGTGTATATGTGGCTGTGTTTGTATATGTGTGTAATGTATATGTGGATGTGTGTAATGTAACGGCTACTTCTCATGCTCATGTGCTTTATTCTACTTCTTGAGATATAGATTTGTGGAACCACATCATGAACTTTTGCCCTTGGGTTACCTTCTTAGCAGTGACATGTTGGGCTCTTCCTACCATTCATATAATCTGTATACATTAGATTATATGTAATTTGGGAAAAAAAGGGGACGATTTATATGTGGTTTCTTTACATTTTCATGAATGTTAACTTGGGAAAATTATGAATGGTAGCAGTGACATGCCCTTGGGTTACATTCTTGGCTGAAAGATTATTTCTTTCTTGTTCCTGGTGGTGTTTTCTATGTTTCCCATGCTTCTTCTGTGCTGCTTTCCCTATAAGATTAGACAGTGGGATTGGACCTTCCATTGTGAACTCGTATGCTGCATAGGGTTGAGCCTTATGTGACAAATGGTTATTCATTTTTTTCCCATGAATCATAATTTTGAGTTAAGTGATAATGACTTATTAATGTGTATATTTAGTAGTATGTTGAACAATGGGATGTATTACTATGTTTAATGACTTATATAATCCAATTACCTTGCTTTCGGTGTTATTTGAGGAGTTATTGGATGTGTTGGAATAAAGAATTTTGATTTGTATTGTGTAGGAGGAAATATTATAAAGCTAATAATTATGATATAACTTGAAGTGGTTACTAAACATATTTTTTGTTTTTATTTTCATAATTTGGTAAATATAAATGACTCCCAAACATGTTTTTTATTTTTTATTTTTATCCCAAACAAAACAAAAACTGTTGTTGTTTCATATTTTTTTGAAAATACGAAAACAAAAAGGATATCAAATGAGCGCTAAAGATCGCACAGGTCGTCTTTTCCAGTGAATATTAGTTTTCCATCTCAGAAATTGACCTTCGATCTTCCATTGACTAGAACGGTTGTTTTTTGGCCTCTCTATTGATTGTCCATCACACTGATCAGTCAATCTTTGATCTGCATCACAAAGAGCTTACACACGCCATACCACTCTTCCTATCTTCTAGTAACGGACTTGACTACGGTACCGAAATTCAAAATTTCGGTACCATACCGAAATCTATCACATTTGTGGTAACTTTTATCACATTTGTGGATAGTTTTACCACAGGTGTGGTATCCAAAAAAATAGTAAAAATAATTATCACAACAGTAGTAAAAATATCCATAAATGTGGTAAAAACACCCAGAAATATGATAAATCAATGATAAATTTTTTGTATTTAAGAAAAGTAGTAAAAACAGTTACAAAAAATGTAGTAAAAACAGCCACAACAATGGTAAAAATACCCACAAAATTTATAAATCAAACACAAAAATGTTAAATTTTTTAGTTGTAAAATGTCTCACAAAAATTAAAAAAATATGCTTTGAAATAATAAATTTTGGAGGTATGGTGCCAAATTTTTTTTGGCTGTACCATATTCAAGTCTGTAAGTAAGATACATAAAGAACAAAAAAGAATTGGAAGTGATCATTATTTCAACTGATATAGTGAAAGAGAATCACTCAATTATACTTGAAAATAAATAGGCTGAAAAAGGTAAGTCACGGTTAGATGTCAATAGAGTTTCATCCTCTTTATTCAGTGGAAAATAGTTCTCCAATAACGAACTACCACATTGTAGAGATCCTAGAAAGAGACAGGCTAGTATTCGAAATCAAAGATTATGAGGTATGGTCATTATTTGTTTTGTTGTTGTAGCAGGGTGTCATTTTCCGCCCAAAATTAGACGGAACTCTAAGTTCTTTTTCATTCTGCCTTTCGTTCAGAAAGAACAAATTTGTGAGTAAGAATGTCGGCGACGAAAACAAGTCTACCGAAGTCTGAAGCCATTTCTAAAGGCTACAACTTCGCTTCTACTTGGGAACAGGTATGTTCAGATTCCAACTGCCATTTCTACATTTCTCAATTCCTAATTTATTTTTGGATTTTATTGAAATGTTGTTTCTCTATTGGATCGGAGATCATTATCACCTCTAAAATTGCCTCTCTAAGTTTGATTAGGAGCATACTTTTGATAGATCTTGCTTCTTAACCTTTGATTAGATTCTTTACACAGCATATTTCAAAACTGGAGGGCAGGCATATTTTTCATTGACACAAGCAACGGTAGACAATGTTTTAGCCGTATTACTTGTAGTGATTGAGGCAAGTAGCTCTTCATTGTTCAAGGGGGATACCAATTGAATCATAATTATTTGCATAAGATTTGATTCCTTTCTAAATGAGAAATAATTGGAGGATCTATGAATAATAAGGATATATTCACCTTAGTGATTTTAAATGTCAGAATAAACTAAATTTGTTAAAGTGGACATAACCTCACTTCACAATTTAAAGGAAATTAGAGGATTCACCAATTATTTGGTAGTTGGAACATTGCCCAACTCCTCTGCATGGTGAGTCGAAGATTTCGGTAGTCTTGTGGTTGATAAACTGGGTTCGCAGGTTTCTTTAATGAGCCAAATAGTGAAAGGGTGTCGTGTTGATGTAAGAAAGTCCAAGAGCTCTAGATTTTCATGTTTTATGTTTAAGGGCCAGTTTTGTGTGCACATGGCCATGAGTAGTAATAAGCTTAAGTGTGTGAGATTTATGTATATACCTGTAATGTTTTGTTGTCTGATTTATTTTCATTAAAGTACTCTTGATAGTAAGAATAGAAAGGAGGAAAGCACAAGGATAGAGAAGGTAAGGGTTCGGTGTTTACGCCTATTCATATTCTTTATTGAGGCATTCTAGTTCGGGTGTTGCGGTTGTAGTAAACGGAAGGGGTCTTCGCCAACTTATTGTTTGGGGGGGTGTTCCTGTGATGAGAAAACTTGGAAAATTTCTTTGAGGCGACATTTTACTTTTTCCGTTGTGCTTGTATTAATCTGAGGAGCTGGGTGTAATATTAAGCTAAAGAACCATTGTAACCTGTTGATTGGAGTGGATTGGTACAGAGTTTGTCCCGTGGTATTCTCTATTTATTGGAGGATATTTTTTGAGCTAAATCTTGTTGTTCTTGTGATTTTTTAAACTGCAGTGTTTATTGATTGCTGGTTAAGTGATGGAAGGGAAGCAGTTTGTTTCAACTGATGTTTATAAGGGCCAACAAAAGCTAAAAGGGTTTGTTGGAACAGTGACCTATGTTCAGTGTTCGATAGATATTGATTATCGTTTGAATAAAGGCTTTCAGGTTTTTTTTTTTTTTTTTTTTAAATTTGGCCTTTTCTTCTACTTTAATTCACCTAGGAGTGGTTTGTGTCTAACCCCAACAAGGGGTATCAAAGCTCTTGTTTATTCGGGAGTACGGTTGTTTTTGTAAATATAGATGGAAGGGAGTAGTAGCACTATTGTTAAACTTACCGTACCAATTTGATTGATTTAGAAATCAAAGGGGGAGGATCTTCTCTTTTGCAAAAACTTGTACGTCTAGTAGAAGTTGGAGGGTAGGTATGAGCAGAAGACTACATGAAACAAAACTTTCTTGAATAAATAACTTGTTAATTTGAAGTTTAGGTAAGGAAGCCCAATTACTGGGCACTTGCTTGAAGATGAGTTGCTAGCATTGTTACATTTGGAATTCGTTACTCGACAGTTGGGAAACCATGGTGATTACTGTAACTCTCTACCTAATGTTTTGCCATTGAGTCAAGCTACTAGCATCGTGTTCAACAAAAAAACAATGAGAAGATCACCTGGTATGGTAATGCACAAGCTGTTATTATTGAGAACATAGGCTGAACTTGACTGGAGGACGGTTGAGGCAAATTTAAAGGCTAATCACAATCTAAAGTAAGGTTTAGTGATAAAGGAGGGCCCCAGTGATCAAAAGGTGAAAGCTATTATTGTGGCATGAAGAGATATCTGAAGAAAAATTGTTATGCTTGGAAGTGAGAATTGAAACAAGGTGATAGTAAAACAATGATGAAGACAAGACCACCAGTGGTCCTCACCCGAGGAGAAAAGGAGTGTTTGCATGTTGCTGATGATGCTGAGTGGGTGGTAGACTTCGGAACTTGAAGATGGGTAACTCCAACTGTTCACAGATTGTTGGAATTAGTGACATTTGTATTCGAACCAATGTTGGTTGCACTATGACTTTGATCATGTGTGTCATGCTCCTGACTTGAGACTTTATTTTTTGATAGTTACTTGAGTCACAGGTCTCAATTAAAGCCAAAGGAACTAAGGTTAAAGCTTAACGGCAAGGCGTTTCTTTGTATTCTTTAGGGTATGGAAAAATGATGAGTTTGTGGATACAATTGAAGGGAAACCGAACAGGAAGTCTATGATCACGGTGACTGAACGCTTATCGATCACACATGGTTTTTTGTGTCTAACCCCAACATCGTCCTCTCCATTGGTCACACAATCCTCCAACAAAACAGTCAATGGGGCAGGATTCTTTTGTGCAAAATAACAAACCACAAGTTAATCTTCATAAATTTCAGTTCCATAAAATTGGAATACAATCTAGAAGACTTGGTTGGATGGTAGAAAATTCTGTAGAATCAATAGTCTTTGCCTGGGCACGAGTCTCAGCTGCTGGGAAGAGAATAAATCAATATCTACTAGTTACTAGTAGGAAAAAGAAGGACAAGACCGTGTATTGGCTACCATATATTTCTACTGGTATAGAGACTCCAGAAATTCAAATAGCATAGAGAAGAAGGTAAGATTAAACTTGAAACAAGTGATCCAAAAATGGATTCGACTTGTTGATTTGTCTTTAGTCCTCTTTTATTTCATGTGCATTTTGGTTCAGTCTCTCGTCGTTTCTTTCCTTTTTTGTGACTTAGTTTGCAAATTTTTTGGTTGACTCACACAATGGATCTGATACAACAATGTGAATCTGCCTATTCTTTACTTTTTCTATTGCCTTCTTTCTATTAGTACAACAACGCGGTCTGGGTTTGTGGCATTATTAAACTTTCAATTAGGATCAGAATTTGGAGTGCTTATGAAATTCTTCCATCAATCTTTCATGGCGTGTTTCAAAAATGGCTCTGAGGAATTTCATTTCTTATCACCTACAGCTCTTTAATCCTTTAACATCACCATGTTTCCCTTACTAACAGACACAAACACAAACACAAACACAAACACAAACACAAACACAAATACAAACACAAACACAAACACATGGTAACGTTTTTGCAACTACTTGGTTTACCATTTGTGCTAATATCTACAAGGCTTTGGTCTGGCTTATTCACTGAATTTCTCCCCTCCAATCTGTTATCCTCTGTGTGCGTGTGTCTGTCTGTCTGTCTGTATGTACATTATTACAATTTACTAGTGAGTCAACTGTTGGTAACATGGTGCGATATCTACAGAGTGCTCCACTGACAGAGCAACAACTGGCAGCGATAGGAGCACTATCTCATGCAGTTGCTGAGCCGCCTTTTCCAGCCAATTTGGTCTGTCTCCTGTCTCTACATTTGATTATTTGTGTAGTTCGTGGTTTCAATTTCATGACAAATAATGTTGTAGGCCCCAGAGCACATATCTGGACATGACACGGGCTTATACATTTCGATGAAGCACAGCACTGTGGAAGAAACTGGGGCCATAGAAACAGTTTTGATCAATACAAATCAGGTAAGACCTTGGTTTCGTTGCTCTCTTGTTTCAATCAAAAGCAGCATGCTCTTCTGTATTGGAAGTTCTTACTCCTTTCCCCTTTAACTTTAGAACTTTTCTTGACTGTAGATATGTTTCTCTCATTCTCTCCCTGCCTCTTATCCATATTCTTTTTCATTTTATGTTTTCTCTTAGTTATTTTTTATTTAAGAAATGTTACTCATGTTATATAAATGTTTAACATGCATACACTGCTATATTTTACATTTGCCGATGGTTTTCCTTCTTTTGGGTGTGGTTTATTTTATTTTTTTGTTCTCTTTTTGCTTTTTTTTTTTTTTTTTTTTTTTGGGGGGGGGGGGGGGG